AGACATCTATATTGAGATAGGACTTTAAGATCTGGACATTTTTCTTTCCTTTTAGCTCTGCTTATTTTATTTCTTCTGTTGTCTTTTTTTAAATTCTCAACTTTGAAATCAAGATGGCATCAGAGATTGGTGACTTTGTACACTTTTTACTGTACTCATGTATGCCTACACTTGAGTACAATCTATTTCTAATTCTAATAGCAATTGTATGATTTCGCAAACAAGAACAGAAATTGCTGGAAAGGCTCAGCAGGTCTGGCAGCATAGAGTTAGAGAGACATAGAGATGTACAGCACAGAAACAGACCCTTCAGTCCAACTCGTCCATGCCGACTAGATATCCTAAATTAATCTACTCCCATTTGCCAGCATTTGGCCCACATCCCTCTAAACCCTTCCTATTCGTATACCCATCCAGATGCTTTTTAAATATTGTAATTGTATCAGCCTTCACCACTTCCACTGGAAGCTCATTCCATGCACGCACCACCCTCTGTGTGAAAAAGTTGCCCCTTAGGTCCCTTTTAAATCTTTCCCCTCACCCCTTAAACCTATGCCCTCTAGTTTTGGACTCCTCCACCCAGAAAAAGGCCTTGTCCGTTTACTACATCCATGCCCCTCATGATTTTATAAACCTCTATAAGGTCACCCCTCCAATGCTTTTCTGAACCCTTTCAAGTTTAAAAACATCTTTCCTGTTGCAAAGAGACCAGATTGAACGCAGTATTCCAAAAGTGGCCTAAGCAGAGTTAACGTTTTGGGTCCAGTGACTCTTCTTCAGAACTGAAGTTCTGAACTCCAGGTTCATCTCACTCACTCTGAGGTGAGAGTGACAGCTGTTGACATCAAGGCTGCATTTGAACAAGTGTAGCATCAAGGACGCCTAGCAAAACTAGAATCAATGGGTATCGGGGGCAAACTCTCCACCAGTTGGAGTCATACCTGGCACAAAGGAAGATGATCTCTGCAGAAGTTCCTCAGGATAATGTGCTTTGCCCAACCATCTTCAGCTACTTCATCAATGACTCTCCCTCCTTCATAAGGTCAGAAGAGGGGATGTTCGCTGTTGATTACACATTTTCAGCACCGTTCACAACTCCTCAGATACTGAAGCAGTTCATGTTCAAATGCAACAAGATCTGGACAATATCCAGGCTTCTAATGACAAAGTGACAGGTAACATTTGTGACACACAAATGTTAGGTAATGATGATCTCCAATAAGAGACAATGTAACTACTGCCCCTTGACATTCAATGGGGATATCAGCACTGAATCTCCCACTATCAACATCCTTGGGGTTAAAGTTTTTAAGAACCTCATCCTTGGGGTTACCGTTGACCAGAAACTCAATTGGACTGATAGCATAAACACAGTAGCTACAAGAGCAGGTCAGAGTTTATGAACACTGAGGCAAGTAACTCACCTCCTGAGTCCCCAAAACTTGTCCACTAACTTCAAGGCACAGGTCAGGAGTGTGATGGAATACTCCCTACTTGCCTGGATGAGTGCAGCCGCAATGACACTCAAGAAGTTTGATACCATCCACGACAAAGCAGCCTGCTTGTTTGGCACCACATCCACAAACATTCACTCCCTCCGCCACAGACGCTCAGTAGCAGCAGTGTGTACTATCTACAAGATACACTGCAGATAGTCCACAAAGATCCTTCGACAGTGTCTTCCAAAACCCACCACAACTTCCATCTAGAAGGACAAGGCCAGCAAATATGTGGGAACACCACCACCTGCAAGATCCCCACTAAGCCACTCACCATCCTGACTTGGAAATATATTGCCATTCATTCACTGTCTCTGGGTCAAAATCCTGGAATTTCCTCCTTAAGGGAATATTGTGAGTCAACCCACAGCAAGTGGACTGCAGCGATTCAAGAAGGCAGCTCACCCCCACCTTTTCAAGGGCAACGAGGGACAAGTAATAAATGCTGGTTCAGCCAGCGATATCCATGTCCCACAATTGAATTTAAAAACATTTCCAGCAACTGCAGTTCTTTGATTTTTTTTTGAGATGATGTCCCAAAACACTTTCCAACCAAAGACAGACTATTGATAATGTGTTCTTCACAATTATAATGTAAAGAAACACAACATCCAATTTCTGCAAACCAAGCTCCCACAAACAGGATTGAGACTGAGCTGATAATCTTTTCTGGTGTTGTTAGTTGAGAAACATCTACAGAAAGAAGTCTTTCTATTGAAGGGACAGGAGAGAGAAAACAGTGAGTTTAGGGAAAGAATTCTCAGGGACTGGGTGGGAGGTTCTGGAGGTGAGTTGCAAAAGAGGGCAGTCAGGAAAATGATGATAGATGCTGGGAGGAAGTTCTCAACACATAGAGAGGTCACTTGCAGGAATTTTTAATCACCTTTAGCACAATTCTACATACACTGAGCCTGAAATGCTGCTGCTTGCTAAAGAATGGAATTCTCCACATTTATCACAAGTTCTACCAAAGACTAAGAGCCAATTATTGGCCCTCACTGCTTAAGATTCATTCAATTCCCCAATGGAATCTGTGGCATGTTGATTTCACATGTAGATCTAATGCTAACCCCTCAAAATGTTTCATTTCTGCGGGTAGTTTATTACACAAATATTTACACTGGACAATCCTTTGCTCTAGTGCTAGACAAATATCGTTGTGGAAATAACGTCAAGAAGCCCATCATTAAGTTTGCGGCTGGGACACAGGGACTGACAAATCCTTCAGGCTGAAGCAGCTGTATAAACCCAGCTTGTAGCTTAAGATGACCTCTAATTCAAAGCTTCAATTGAATTCAGGGTGGGTTGGGTGTAGGGGAGAGAATGCAGTATCTGACTCCCATGTGAGGTCATTGCAGCTGTTCAAATGCAGAGGTCGGAAGATTACTGAGATCGAGAAGACTTGATCACTTTGTGACGGTAAGCTGGTAGGTGGGGTCTGTTTACCGCTGGGATATTAATACCACCTGAGAGCTTCACACTCTCACTATCTTGGTGATAATCTAATGAAACACATATGACTAACATACATTCAGTCATGGAAGATGTGAAAGGGAATTTCCCCTTCTTGTGATGACAGAAGATATTTAACTTTCATTTTGCAGAGGGAAGGCAGCACAATTTTTGCCATCATAAAATGACATTGGGCCTTTGAGGGAGTTTGAGTCAGAAAGTTCACGTCCCACTCCCCAGACTCGAACAGAAAATCCAAGCTGGTTCCCAGTGGAATCATGGGAATGCCGCACTGTCAGAGGGTCAGTGCTGAGGGAGCGCCGCACTGTCAGAGGGTCAGCGCTGAGGGAGCGTCGCACTGTCGGAGGGTCAGTGCTGAGGGAGTGCCGCACTGTCGGAGGGTCAGTGCTGAGGGAGTGCCGCACTGTTGGGGGTCAGTGCTGAGGGAGTGCCGCGCTGTTGGGGGTCAGTGCTGATGGTGCGCCGCACTGTCGGAGGGTCAGTGCTGAGGGTGTGGGCACTGTCGGAGGGTCAGTGCTGAGGGAGTGCTGCACTGTTGGGGGTCAGTGCTGAGGGAGTGCCGCGCTGTTGGGGGTCAGTGCTGATGGTGCGCCGCACTGTTGGGGGTCAGTGCTGAGGGTGTGGGCACTGTCGGAGGGTCAGTGCTGAGGGAGCGTCGCACTGTCGGAGGGTCAGTGCTGAGGGAGCGTCGCACTGTCAGAGGGTCAGTGCTGAGGGAGTGGTGCACTGTCGGAGGGTCAGTGCTGAGGGAGTGCCGCACTGTTGGGGGTCAGTGCTGATGGTGCGCCGCACTGTCGGAGGGTCAGCGCTGAGGGAGTGCCGCACTGTCGGAGGGTCAGCGCTGAGGGAGTGCCGCACTGTTGGGGGTCAGTGCTGATGGTGCGCCACACTGTCAGCAGTGTTTTTAAACCAAGGCTCTGTCTGCTCCCTCAGCTGGAAGTGCAATATCTAATGGCACTACTCTGATGAACAGCATGGGTATTTACTCCAGCGGCCTGATCAAGACTTGCCCCTCAAACAACCTGACTAAAAACAGATTATCTGATTGCCCCCTTAGTGCGGTTTGTTGGATCTTGCTGTACACAGGCCCTGTGTTTCAAACATGATATTGCACAGCTTTTGTTGAAGGAGATGGCCTATTGGTGTTGGACTCGCCAGGGGCATCCACATTGTGTAAATAATAGAAAAAGGACCACACTTCTAAAGCATTTTGTTGGCTTTAAAACACATGGAATACCCTGGTGTTCTGAAATTCTGATTTGATGTGCACAGCAAAGACTCAGAAAGCTGAAACTGAATGATTTTCCCACAGAACAAAAGTATTAGTCAACTAAAAGTAAAAGTGACGTTTGACCACAACACTCCCATAAAGTGGCACCTTGGTAAAAGTTTGCAACCTCCTGAGCCAATCACAATTAAGGTTCGTGTTGCGTCAATCACAGGGAATCACCTTGGAATTAAAATGGTGCTTTTGACAGGGCGAAATATTCTAGAGAGAGTCAGCAAGCACCGGGACAATGCAGGAATGTGACCCAACATGAGTCAGAATATGGGCAGGCGGAATTGTGAATGAATCTGAGGTCACTGAGAGGGGAGAATGTCAGCCAGGCTGGGAGGTCAATGTCAAGACCAGATGTAACAAAGGCATGGGGGCTGTGACAGGACTGGACTGCAAACCCTTGGTAAGACCATCGCACATGTGCAACATGTAAGATGATACTCTAAATCCAGCACCTGCAAATGGGCCCATGCCTATTGTGTCCCCTCTTCTATTACTCCCCTATCCTACTCCCAGCAATTCTAAAAGGTAAGCTCCTTCTTTTATTTAACAATATTGAAATATGATAGAATCATATAACGCTACAGCATTAACCCCAGGCTTGCTCTTTTGCAGAGTTACTCAAATAAAGCTAATCCTACACAGTATATTTTTTTCCAGAAAAAACATCTGCCCTAAGATACACCTTTGAAATATTTCCATCATCTTGGCTTCCAATCTGTTTTGTTTAGCCATACCATTGTACTTACTTTGGTAATAACGTGTAGACTGGTGTTTGGCAATAAGCTGGTGATTACTTTCACAGGGAAATCTGCTTGAATATGTTTTCTCTTCTCCATCTCATAGTCCCACCGCGTGCACTGGGGGCCAGAGTCCCGTTAACGTGCAGTGGCGGGGGGGTGCTGGTCATTCACCTCCTGCTAGTGCCAAGGCAACCGGGCACAGTTGAGCACTCCTATCTCCGACTCTGCCAGCTCCTTGTTCCAGTGTTAGCCCCAGCAGTTTGATACACCAATTCAGCCGATGTCTGTGTTGAAATGCCTTGACTCCTTCCCAATTGCACAATCTAGTTCAGAGAGTGAAGCTGGGTGACTGAAAACAGTCACTGGTTCCTGGAGTTGCTGCCTTTGGGAATTAACAACAGACTTAGAATTTCACTTCCCAGTCTCTTCCGCTGCCATCTCTCACCGCTGCACTATACCTCACACTGAGGAAGTCTGTTTCATCGTCGAAGTCACAACAGAACCAGCCTCGACTCTTTAACATGACTGGAGCCCAGAAGTGAATAATTCTCTCTCTCCCTGTCTCTCTCTCCCCACCCTCTGCCGTGTTGAAGAGAATATTCGCAGAGCAGGAGACAGGAACAGGACACAGTGGGTGGACAAAGAGTTGGAGAGAAACTCGGCAGAGCTGGAAATGCAAACTGTTAACTCCTTTCAGCCCATTCTGGAACTGAATATTCTCCTACAAACTGAACTAAGACAAGTATTGTATTTTATCAACTACAACACTCCCTCCCGCATAATAACCCCCACAAGTCACATTCAGATTCTTTGTTCAGTTTGCCCTCAGAGTTGATGGGAGTAGTGATGGAGTTGAAGGACAATGTGTACAGAAGTAAAGTTGCCATAGTCCCAGAGGACCACTCCTTCATTAAAGACAGGGACAACTGGTGATAGTTTAACGCCTCAGATAAGGGGAAAGGTTGAGACCGAGTGTCCTTCAGGATATCCTCAGTTCCTGTGAGAATTGAACCGACACTGTTGGTGCCCCTGTGTATTACAAACCAGCCTTCCAGCCAGACTAACCCTCACAGCCAGCAATAAGGTCTGATGAAGCCCTCAGAGTTTCTTTATAATTCATTCCTTCATTGGACGTGGACATTATTGGCTGTGCCATAATTTATTGCCTAACCCTAATTGACCAGAGAGCCTACACTTGACTCCAGACCCACAGCAATTTGGTTGGCTTGTAACTGCTTTCCAGGCCATGAACTTATCTAAACATCTTTTTAACATTGTAACTAGCGGCATCCACCACTTAGAAGTTCCGGCAGGAATGTGAGTTTTAAGCTGCTACTTAAAGGAAAGAGAGAGATGTAGAGAGGCCAGAGTTTAGGGCTCAGGAAGTTAAAGACATTGCCATTAGTGGTAGAATGATTAAAACCTGGGTGTTTAAGAGGCTTGAATTACAGGAACTCAGATAAATTGTCAAAGGTGCAGGAAAAGTTAATCTGGATCATGACTATAAATGAAAGTGAGCAGCGAGTATCTGACTAGAGGTGATTTGTGTTAGGACATATATCAGAACACTCTTCACAGAATGTGTACAACCAATTCTAAATAAACCCACTGAGACAAAACAGCAGAAGCCATTTAAAGCATCAACTAGCTGCAACGGCATTGGATATCAGGAGTGACAGCTCTTACTGGGTGAATTATGATAGCTTCCTTTTTTTAAAACTCTCTCTTGTGATGTGGGTATCACCTGCAAGGCCAGCATTTGTTATGCTAATTTTAACGTCTTTTTAGGCCATTTCGAGGGTGGTTAAGAGTCAACCGCATTGCCGTGAGTGTGGAGTCGCATATAGGCCTGACCAGATTTGATTGGCTTTTTAGGCCATTTCAAGGGAAGTTAAGAGTTAACCACATCGCAGTGGGTCTGGAGTCACATGTAGGCCAAACCACATAAGGCTGGCAGATCTCCTTTCCTAAACAGCCTTAGTGAACTGGATGGGGTTTCACAACAATCGATGATACTTACTATGGTAACCATCGCTACAACTACTGTTACATTTCAAATTTCTCACATGGAATTGAAATCTCACCAGCTGACAGGTTGGGATTTTAATCCATATCCCCAGAGCATTAGCCTGTCCCTCTGGGTCACTAGTCTAGTAACACTGCCATCTCCCTGTCCCATTACTCCTCATCTCCTTGCAATAAGTCATGTGTGTCTGTAGACCTCAAACTAAAAATCCTAGTGTTATCCTCAGCAGAGATAAACTGTAGTTAGTTACTGAAACTGGTTGCAAAGAGTACCTTCCAGAAAATTCTTCATCTCCCATTCAGAGACTTAGAAAGAAATGAGTTACGGTCAGTGTACAAAGGACAACCTTCAAAGCTGGAATCTGTTCTGTAGAAGGGGCATTGGACTCAAAATATTATCTCTGCTTTCTCTCTGCCAGACCTGCTGAGTTTCTCCAGCAATTTCTGTTTCCTTATTTTTAGCAAAGGGAATGGAGAAACAGGGAGTACCTTCTCAGCCTTGTATAGTTCATAGTCAAACCAGTGTTAGATACACCAAAGATTCTTGACTTCATTGATCCAATATCACTGGAAACAGGTACAGTTATAAGGTTTAAAAGGCATGTGGACATGCATAGGAAAGGTTTAGAGGGATGTGGACCAAATGCAGGCAAATGGGACTCATTTCATTTGGGAAATTTGCTTTGCATGGACAAGTTGCAGAGAAAAGTCTGTTTCTGTGTTTAGGTCTCTATAATACACAAGAATAGTGAAATTTTATACCTCAAGGCGCTATCATTTCCATCTTCTGCCATGTACCATCAAGTCAATTTAATAATCACTAGGAAGGAAAGGAGTTCATCATTTGTAAAAATGAATCAAGATTTTACTCGGCTACTTATCAAAGAATGTTACCTGTTCAGTGATTGGCAGGCTCTTATCCAATCTCGAGGTTCTGCTCATGACCAGAGGATCCAAGGAACTCATTTGATTTCTCGAATTGAATCATTGCTGTGGAAAGCTATCCAATGTCCCCTCTCTATTGATCTCCTGTCTCACAGAATTGTTAAGGTGCAGAAGGAAAATATTCAGCACATTGTGTCTGCCCGGCCTCTCTGAGCAAGACATCTCAACAGCTTATTATTAATTCTAACCCAATTTCAATTTGGTCATTTAATAGTGAGGACATTTTTAATGTTTGAATGCTAATCATTCAACAAATACTAAACACAAATCTTCAAATACTACCAATCTCCGATTTAAAGCTGTATTTGGGCCTGATTTTAACTCATTGAGAATTGAAAAACCCAATTGCACAGAGTTAAGGTCAGGCCTGTAGAAGCAGGTGGAGGCCATGCAGCTTCAACATCTCATTGTTAACCTATCCCTTAACTCTTCTTACCGGCCTTTAGCTTCATATCCTTCGATAGTGTTAAAAATCCATTAATCAGATCATGGAATCATAGAATGAGCCAGTACAGAAGAGGCTATTCAGCCTATCATGCCAGCTCATACCCCACTGCTCTTTTGCTCTATTCCTGCAATTTTCTTTTTTCTCTTTTGCTCTATTCCTGCAATTTTCTTTTTTCCTTCAAGTTAGATCCAGTCCTCATTGCCTATGGAGGTGGAGACATTCTGATATTTCAAAAGGAAGATGGATGCGTACTTGTGGGAAATAAACACAGTTGCTGTAGCAATAGGTTGAGGAAAAGGGATTGAATGCATTGTTCCATGGAGAACCAGTTTGATGGACTGAATGGCCTGCATCTGTGCCTTCAGTGACTCCATGCCTGAAAGCAGAATTCACTTGAACTCCTCTTTGTGGTGTGTAGCCTGCTTGTGGCTCGGTGCCGTAATGGCACATTTTAGAGCGACTATTTCCTTCCCACGGTCTGCCTGTCCCCAGTGTGACAAGTCCCAGGTGGAGGGGCTGAATGGCCTCCTCCTATTCCTAAGTTTCAAGAATGCTCCCGATAACTTCTCTTTCCAACTAAACCGCACTAATGTTATACAAGTAGTTAAAATGACACAACCATCTCCTTCTGGAAAGTAGCCACTCAAATACAAAGGCTCAATGGAAAGCAACCACTACAGAGAATTCCACTGTTGGGAAGAGCCAAGTGTAATTCCACAGCTGGCCTGGACGCCTTCTAAAATATTCAGAAATATTTCCGCCCCCACTTTTCTCCCTCAGCTTTTCCTGGAGGCTGGCTCCATGGAGTAAAGACTCCCTCACCCTGGTTCCTGTGCCCAAATTCCAGTGCAAGTGAGCATAGATGACATGTCCCAGTTGTCTCTCAGGAGGGGCACCACATTTTGCCCTCATCCTGGGTCACCGGGCCTGGCATGGCCAGAGAAGCCAACATGCTGTGACTCTGCCTGCATAAAGCTGAGGTCATTACCCTTATCCTGTGGGCATTGTCAGGGTAACCTGGCAATTGAACCTGGGGCTGTGTAGGAAAGGGTTTTGGGAAACTCATTGTGAGACTCGGAACAATTTCTCCTGGGTTCCCTTGGGCTGCTTGGGGAGTGGAGGTGTGGTGGGGGGGTGGGGGTTGGGCTGTTGCATGGTGTAAAAATGATAATCATAGAATCCGTACAGTATGGAAGTAGGCCATGTGGCCCATCGAATCCACACTGACCCTCCGAAGAGTATCCCACCCAGACCTGCTCCCCTACCATATCCCTGTAACCCTGCATTTCCCATAGCTAATCCGTCTAACCTACACATCCCTGGACACTTTGGGGGAATTTAGTGTGGTTAATCCACCTAACCGGCACATCTTTGGACTGTGGGAGAAAACCGGAGCGCCCAGAGGAAACCTACCCAGACACAGGAAGAATGTGCAAACTCTATACAGACAGTCACCTGAGGCTGGAATTGAACCTGGGTCCCTGGCACTGTGAGACAACAGCGTCAATCATTGAGCTACCGCGCTGCCCCAAAATTAAGGAAAATTGACAACACAGATGAGAAATGGTTGGAAGAGTTAAATTCAACACTGAAGTCTTTTCCTATTTTTAGGTGTGAGGTCAGAGAGGAGGCTCATGACTCAGTCTCAGGTCTCTCAGACTCAGGCTGTGAATCAGCTTTATCATGAAGGTATGCTTCATGTAGTTGCCTCCAAGCCAATCATAATCATCAAACTAAAAGCGGACACTTGGAGTTAGATTGAAAAGATATTACTGAGATGTAGACACTCCCATGTGAAAGACCAATATTCCAGCCCATTTGTGAAAGGAAAGTATTTCCAATTTTATGACAGCTTCTACAAATGTAGGACACCCCTAAGCTGTGTGTCAATGGATAGCACTCTCACCTTGGAGTCATAAGGTTCCAGACTCTCTCCCATACTTCGGGAGGGTAAAATACAGTCTAGACTGACACTTCAGTGTAATACTGAGGGAGTGCTGTGCTGTCGGAGGTGCTGTGTTTCAAATGAAGAATGGAACTTAAGCCCTGCGTCCTTTTTCGGGTAAATGGTTAAAAAAAAACACATTGCAAAATTTGAAACAAGAGCAGGAGAGCGTTCCCTGTTATCCTGGGCAATATTTGTCTCTTA